TTTTTCAATTTTAGCATGCTAGGCTGAAGAGCAAGAGAAGACATCCCCATGACAGACAGGCAGTCAGGCAGGGAACAGCACATCACTTAGCACTGCTCCACAGGGCTTCACCCTGTGCAAAAGAGATCTGGCTTTATGCTGCTCCCCTGTCAAGGACTGTATTTCACACTTTATGAATCTGATTTTCTCTTCCCGATGAGTATGTTTCCAGGATAACATACATTATAATAATATATGCACAATCGAATGCAGCTTATGTTCAATTCAATTTCTGTTTTATACATATATATGGGCATAGATGGGGAAAAAAATCCCCAATTATGTAAGCAATGAGGATGTAGTGAGAAGAAAAAGAAGACGATGAGAAAGGAAGGAGGACTACTCTAGCAAGTATCCATGTATATTAATGGTCAAGTGCCATCTACTACCACATCTGAAGTTTGTCTAACAGCCAATGGCAATTCAAAGTCCATTGATATTCTTATTTATTGTCACTGAACATGGTGCTTTATAATGGATTTTCAGGAAGTTTTGGGACACCCACTTCACTGGAAAAATATTTGCTTGAATTTGTAAAAAACAATAGAACTCAGTTATGCATTACAGCCAAACAGCAAGAAATCTTTCCATTTCCAAGGATGTATTTGAAATCAAGAGAAATTTGTTAATTAATAGCCAATAGCTATGACCTTGTTATGAAACTTCAGAGGATAGAAGTATCAGCACTGTATATTCAGTCTATTCAAATTTTTTCTTTTACCCTCAGTCACATTAAGAAGTGAAACCATCAGTGACATGAATAGTAACTATATAGGGAAAAACATGGTAGGACATGGACTATTAACAAAAGGCAGTTGAAAGTCCCCCTTCATATAAAAAGATATTCCCTTGTTCTTGATCAGAAGGTAGTCTTTGTACAGGCTAATTGTGTATTTAAAGAAAAAACAACGTGCCCTTTTAAAGCTGCCATTTTCACAATTCAGAGGAACTGGGACTGAGATTTCGCAGCAGTTTGAGAAAACACATACTTTTCTTTTGAAGCAGATTTTCATATGGTAAGGAAGAATACAAGCAAAATCTGAATTAAGATAAGGTTTATAAAAAATATGTCAGACATTTAGTCAAATAAAAAAGTTCAGATAGAGAGGAACATCTATAATGCATAGCTAGAAAGATGCCTCCATATGACCACTCCTTAAATGTGCATCAAGGGAAGCACAGAAATCTATTCCCTTCTGTTGGGAACTCTTACATCCTTCTAACATAATTCCAGAAGGGTAATGGCACTTGCAGAAAATGCTTTCATCAGGCTGTGCTAAAACAGTAAGTGATCTTGCCCACAGTAAGCTTGCTTTAATTTCTCATTGCTTAGAACGTGTACCTGCAGCACACAGGAACTCACAGGATGTCCTCATACAACCACGAGGAGACTAAACTGGCTGGGGGAGATGACACTGCACTTGGAGAAAAGCAGAACATTGCTGCTGGATCTGCATGCAGCATTTGAGACAATGCAGGCTAGTGAGGTGCCGAGAGTCACCGGAGACAGCAGAAGAACTGAGGATTAGAGGAGGAAATTGGGTTTCCAGTGAAAATTGATAAAGATTAAGGGCAACGCACAGAGCAATGGAGTTAACTGCACCAGGGCTTTGAGAAGAGCAAGGCAACAGAAGGCAGCATGTGAGGGAGACCTGGGGCTCTGGATAATAAAGGGAAAGGCAGCTACTGTTGGTCATGGGGTAGGGTGAAGCAATGGCTCTGTGGAAGACAAAGGACATTGAGAGGAGAGGCAAAGGCAGAAAGATGTGATGAGAGGTTTGCCAATACAAATAAACACTGTTGGAAAATGCCAACTAACTGCAACCAGAGCTGTCATTGTCAACAAAGCTCTTATTGAAGACATACCTGCGGAAGAAGTGAAAAGTAACTGTATAGGTGTTTTTAAACATTTCTCTTTTGGACTAAAGTGACGATTTGGGGTTTTTTAATGGAGGTAAATTAAGCTGGGAATGTACTTAAAAATCCATAACCTTGAACGTAAAATAAAAAGAAAAAAGAATCCCAAGTTTGCTTTTTATTTTTTTTTGCTTGTCATTTCATTGAAGACATTACTGTAACTTTGTCTTGACCTGAAACAAGGTATAGCTCCCTATATCTTGAAGCTTTAAGCTTTGAACCTGCCTGGAAAACTCCACCAGAGATTATTGATGGGATGCTATTGATTCAGGGTGTAAGACATTTGCAATAAAGACAGGAAGGGAGCACTTTCCCAGAGAGAAGACACCTTCCTCTCCCAAAGCTCCCAAATGCTGGGGCCACCTTCCCCTAAGTGGTACCACTCCTCGCTACAGTGTCTTAGGTTTACTTCCTGAAACAGTTGCTGATTTCTTCCCCTCCTCCCAACAGAGCACCACGCAAAGGTCAGGCAAAAGCCTTAGAGATTAAATTGTAAGTGATTAAAATTTCCATTATTTTGTGAACTTGTTCTACATATTAAAGAGCCCTAATGGAACTTGCACACATTTGTGCAGGTAGAAAGGCACATGATGATATGAATTAAGGAAATTAATTCCTGTGCTTTGGACTGAAGTAATCTTCCAGAATATAATTGGCTTTCAATCATTCACACACACCATGCCCTTCACCTTTAAATGGTAATTCATTTTACTATACAGGTTTTGAATGCCATTTACATCAGACTTTAAGAAAGCTCCCATCTATGTACTAGAATACAGTCAATATATTTTGTCCATGTCAGACCATAATTCTGATTTCTAATATATATATATATATATATATATATATATATATATATCCTTACGATGTTTTACCATGTCAGTGACCCATTACAAGGAGGAATGCAGAACACTTCCCAGACAGAGATCAAACAGCAATTCCCCCAGAAACACAAAACTAACAATACCACCTCTTCTGAAACACCCCCTATTTTCTTCCTGTGCTGAGCTCCCTGTATACATGGTGAAATGGATATGAAGGTACAAGACTTTTCAGGGCTATGCCTAAACCATAGCAGAGAAGTGCAAGGCATAGTGACAGTAAACATGTCTCATCTGCTTTAACCAAAGCAACAGGAATCTAGAAAATCTTACTATGTAGAACTTTTCCTCTCCCATGACTGTGAAAGAAAGACTACAGAGGAAATATTTGGAAGCACTGGCTTGGTCTAGCTGCTTCTGGAGTTGCTTCAGCCCATCCTCTACAGTGATGCAGCAGCATGTTACAAGTGATGAAGTGTATCCATCTGACGAAATGGCCTTCTTCAAGCCAGGTGCGCTGTTAAAATGTGTTTCCTATTGCCGGTGTTTTTGTTTTGCACATCACATCCTATCATTCTGTGATAATGTTTTATCTCACTCTCACTAATACCAGCCATGGCAGACAATCAGAGAGACTGTAACATTGGCACGCCTGCCAAATGGTTAGGCATATTCTGGACATAGACAACAGATGCTTATATTTAAATTAGGACTAATTTGCATTTTGTGTATTATGGAATTTTTAAAGCATAGTTTTACAAAAAGGGATGTATAATTCTGAAATAGTAATATTTCCTTTGAAAAGTCAGGTTTGCTAATGGATTGCCATCTGTTCAACCCTTTTCCAGAAAGTAGATTTGTCCTGCTTACTGAAAACAGTATTAGAGTGAAACTGTAGATTACACAGTGGATTTCTGAGCAGTTTAATTTAAAGTGCAGGCTAACACTTTGCTATTTTGATAAAAATAACTTTAGCTTCTCCCTTTCTACTAATGCTGGAATCTAAGCCCAGCAAACTGTATTTGGAGTACTTTGTGGGCTGTTTTGCTCTCTCAGTTGGGTCCTAGAAAAGGTGCCCACCTCTCCTTTATAATTTTCAAACTGAGTTTGTGTTTCATTCACATAGGATTCGAAGAAAAAAAATCTCCATCTTACTTCAACAACCAATTTTAATCCTTCGGAAAAAAACCCTAAACATTTAAAACACCAAGGCACTGGCCTCAATTATGCTTTCAAGAGTACAAGATTTATAGGGACTGGGAGCCTCTTGGAGCCTCTGCATGCAAATGAGGAAGAAGGACACCTCGGCAATTCAGAATGCCGTACTGGGAGCTGATGGAGCTCTACCCGATGGAGCGATAGGAGCAAAGTTGCTCTCCCTAGTAACCCACAGAAATCTATTGAGGTTTCTGGTGAACAGCATTACGGGAACAACTGCACTGCAAGGGAGAGAGGTTCAATTTTTTCAGCCTGGAGGCAAAAGTTGAACTGTAAACTTCAAGATTTCAGCACCCTCTTACGTTACCTGTATAAGGTTACCGACACAGTCTCAAGGCTACCCAAGCTCTCCCCACCCGGACCGAGTAGCTGTCTACGGGAATACGCAGAACCGTTCTGTGCATGCGAACGGACAAGTTGCAGCCACGGATCCTTTCCCCGCACACCCCCGCGCAAGCCCCCAAAAGCCGCATTTTGCCGGCAAACGACGCTCTCGTCGGGAGGTTCGGGCTCCCGACTCGCTGCCGGAACGGCACTGCTCCGACACCGAGCATCCCTGGCCGAAACACCTGCGGGGGTGGCGACGCGGGGCCTCGGCGCAGAGCCACGGCGGGGGACGGCCACGGGGGAGCCCCGCAGGGCGGGGACGGCGGAGCAGCACCGAGGAGCGCCTCCGGACCGGAGCGCTGACCGCGGAGCCGCGTCCTGCGCTTACGGCACCGCTGCGCTGCCGGCGGTGGGGTACCTGCCCCATGCCAGCCCCTGCCCGCACAAAGTTTTATCTCCTACGTTTCAGACCTTCTCCCACCGCCCACCTGAGCCCGGCGGGGAGGCGCGTCCCCGCTGCCGCTGCTACAGCCGGCCCCGGGCACTGCGGAGCCGGAGCGCTGCCGCGGCAGCGCCCGCCGCGCTGGAGCTGCGGGGGCAGACCCGGCGCTTGCCGTGGTGGCCCCGAGCAGGGCGGCCGGGGAGGCGCGGCCGGGGAGCGGCGGCAGCCGCGCTTACCTCTGTCCAGCGTGAGCGGCTGGACCGCTGTCAGTGTCGCCATGTCTGCGGCGGGGCTGGAGCCCGAGTGACGCGCGGCTCCAGCACCGGCGTGGAGTGCGGGGAAGGGCGGGGAGGAGGCTGGCAGGGAGAGGGGGCGGAGGAGGAGGGTGGCTCCGTGGGAGGAGGAGGCGAGCGGGGCGGAGAAGGTGCCCAAGGGTGGGCGGCTCATCGCACACGGGCCGCCGCGATGCTGCGGGCGCAGAGCGGCCCGGCGCGGCCCGGCGCGGGCTGCCGGCATCGCTGCGCTGCAGGAGCTGGGCCTGGCGAGCGGCCCCCGCCTCACCGCGCTCGCCTCGGGACAGAGACCGGGGACCGCGGAGATCGCGGCAGCCCGGGCTGTGCTCGGGGGGCGTCTCGCTGCCGGTCCCGCCGCCTCGGGGATGCCGCAGCTGCCGGCGGAGGAAGAGAGAAGGGCGAGGGCGGGAGCTCCGCAGCGCCGCGGGGCGGGGAGGACCGGCGGGGCCGGATCCGGCGGCCCGGCCTCGCCTGGCCGGGGGCGGTGGGCCGGGCCGGGCCTGGGCAGCGGTGCGGGGCGCGGTGTGCCTGGGTGAGGCCGTGCGCCGAAGGCTCCCTGCGGGGAAGGAAAATCTACGCCCGGAGCCGGGACGGGCGATTCCTGGCATTGTGCAGGGCCGTGGATTAAGGGACATATCATGTATCCACCCTTTGGATGGACCAAGACGTTGGCCTCATCAGCCCAGCTATCACCTCTTTTCTAAGTGCTATGTGCGGCCGGCCATCCTTAAGAAAGCCAGCACAAACACCAGCTCTCCACTGCGAGGGGCTGGTCACACTTGGCGGCCGCCTCTTGTAGGTCAGCTGCTGCTTGTGTGAGCATAGGGGTCTCTGTTAAAGACATCCACGAAGGTGGAATTTCACTGGAGTTCTGCGAGGTTTGTCAGCAGCCTTCTGGTTTTTCTACTCTTGTCGTCCACAAGAAGAGAAAGGAACGTGGTTAGCTGCCATCCAAGAAAGATGTGACATTGTGGCACAGCTCCACTGAGTTTCTGCTGCCTTCTCTTTGGTGGACGATGGTGTAGAGGAATAAATGACTGAGTGAAGAATGGTCTCCTATTTAACTTTCCCTGTGTAGCAATTGTGCACCTTAGGCTCGTTTGGAATGCTGAGATAAAGGGCAAGGTAGCATTTTTCTCCTCATCCGCTATTTTGTCTGTACCACAGAGGACTTGAAAGTACAGTAATTCAAGGTTGCTCATGAATAAAAGCTTTCAGCTGCAAAGGTATTTAAGCACTAGTATAGCGAATTAGGGAAGCTGTGGAAAAATTGCCATTAAAAGTTTCCAGAGCAGATTAAAAATACATTTTGCTGTTTTAAAATTAGAGGAGTTTAAATAATGTATATATGAGCCACCCACTTCTGATAAACTGAATTCAGCACAAATTTATCTAATTAACAATAAAGATTAGCATATTTGGTTATCTTAGCAAGAAGATGTTTCAATTAGCTAAAATATGAAAAGTTGAGAAATAGTTCCTGGCAAACAGTTTTTAAAATCAAAATTAACATCAGGATTGTTATTATGCAAATTTTATGTACTCACGTAGCAGCTGGGTTGACATAAAGTGTAATAGCTCCTCTTAAGTAGTCACGTTACTGTATATTAGATTCATAGTCCCGAATAGAGAAGAAATAAACATTTGGAGCTATAACAACCTAATGTGACAACATTCATGCAATTATGACACTTAAAAAACTTTATTAAAGATATAGAAGTGTGTTCAAATAAAATTAAGAGCAAGATGCCAAGTAAATTAGCAAGTTGCTTTCCATATAGGACTTCATAACCCTCAGACCTGCTTTCTTACTGTCTTGCAAACAGACATTTTGAAGCAAAATGCTGTCATAACAATGCTTTCTCTACCAAAAAATGTGTAGCATTAATGCCATGAGCAGGGTGCCTGTGGAAAGCAGTAAGGTCCTTCTGGGTTTATCTTTTATCTACTGCTGGTCAGATTTTGTGTGTTTCAGGGACTAATTGGCACTTAGATAAGAGACTTGAATAGAAGTTTGAAAAGCACTCAAGGAAGATGAAAAGCACCATTTACTGAAATTAAACTTTTTCTAATCAGCATAGCTGTATAGTTAGTTCCCAAGAATGTTAAAGACCTAGATGAGGAACACTTTAGGCAGCTGAACTTTTGCAGAAAATTGCAGAAGTTGTACAGCTGAAATTAGCAACTGGAGAAGAGGTGGAATGAGGCAGTAGCTCTTGCTTTGCTAACTCCCAGGAGCAATGGAGGACACTAATAGCAAAAGTCAGCAGTCAAAAAAAAAAATGAGTACCAGGCAGCCTGCTGTTTTAAAAGGTAAACCTTAGAAGGTTTTTGGACAGATACAACTGGTCTGACTCTTCAGTCTTGTTGTTTCCTTGGACTGTATTGGAGCTTTTAATTCAATAGCACATGCTGTTTACTGAACCAATGAAATTAGACTGAATCAACAGATTTTATATTTGCTACGTGGACTATAAACTAACACTTCTCTAACAGATAGTTCAGTGGTCAGGTGCCAGTGAACAAGACTGTTGCTAATAAGGTGCCTGTAGACTTTTTATAGCTAAATTTTTAAACTAAATTTAGCATTTTTTTTTCAAATATCTAAAATGTGGTCATAAAGGCTTCCATGGCTATGCTTTTAGATAATACGGATTTTATTATATAAAATAAAAAAGAAAAAATACATGAAAGTGGGTAAACTGTGAAAGATGGTGTCCAGAGGGGCTGAGAAAGGACCTGGGCAGCCTGTTCTTGCTGTGACATTAGCCTGGCTTTAAGCAAGAGATTAGACTGGATAATTTTCAGATCCTTTTCAACATAAATTATTCTGTGGTTCTCTAATAAAGTCTCTAAATCACTAGTAAGAATTATCTGAATAGCTGGATTCAATTGCTAGATTTTAAAAAATAATGTGTTTTAATGCTGCTGCAAGCGAGCGTTGAAGAATGCAGTGGTTACTTCAGGACTGGAGATGGTTTTCGGTACGGATGTTCTTATGTAGCCCATTCAGTATAAGTTCTTTTTGGGATGTTGCCAGAAGGACAACACAATCCTTGAATATATAAATGAAGAATGGCAAACACAAATAGGGAAATTATCTTTCTTCTGTATGTAGCATCCATGAAGCAACTGACTGGAATACTGTGTCCAGATGTGATGTCTGTCTTTCAAGGTAGAAAATCAGTTTTCACAGGAGGTTGAAGGATCTTAAAAAAAGTTTATCAAAGAAAAGGGATAAGAAGGAAATGAATCACTGTATGTAGGAAGAGGCATAATATTGGAGGGATTTAAAGTCTTTAAACTTATAGTCTTATGACATAAGGTAAATCCCATGACCGGTAGTTTAACAAGCACAGCCTTGTTAAGTAAGATGTGCTTTTCTAGATCTTAGGGCAATATAGGGATCAATTACTTGTGATTGTTTGCAATCTTACCAAAAATCAGAGGTCGTTATAAATAGTTTGATCAAACTTCTAAAGAAAATAAAATGACAGCATTATTCAGGAGGCTACGTGAGATAATGAGTATGATCTGTTACTCTCATGACTTTTATGACCCTTTGTCTTCCCTCAAGAATTGGTGCTACGTGGGCCAGAGAATTATTTCTATGCAGCACAGTGCAATGCAATGTGGAAAAACCCAGCACCACTCTGAATGCACTCAGTGGCTGCCAGGGTAGCACATCTAAGCTTTGCATGGGGTAATTCATAGAATCAAGCAATGATTTTGTGTTGTAAAGGACCCTAAAAATTAAGCTAGTTTCCACCTCCTCCCCTCCATGGTGAGGGTCACCTTCCAGTAAAACAGGTTGCTTAAAGCCCCATACACCCTAGTCTTGAACATTTCAGGGATGGAGCACCCACGTTTCTGGACAACTTTTTTCCAGTGTCTTAAATATTCTCGTAGTGAACAAATTTTTTCTAATATCTAATCTAAATCTTCTCTCTTTCAGTTTGTGCCTTGCACTTCAGCACAGCTGAAAGCAAAGATTACAGGAGTGTTGTAATGTGTCGTGAATGCTCAGAAGACTGAGGATTTTTGTCATCATTTGGATTTGCTTTTTGAATAGCATTTTGCATATAGAGGGGAAAGAAACCTTCAATTGAAAAAAAAATCCACAGGTTATTTCCCATGCAGTTTCCATGGCAGAACTTGCTCTTTGAGAAATTCGATGGTTTAACAGCAGCTTGTCTATTGGGCTAAGACCTGCATTGGTTACTCACAAGAAATGTGATTTAGCGCTTTCTGAGAACTATATGCGTTTCTCACAAGTGCAGTTCATTTTGTCCCAGGAGAGCCATGTCATCTCAAATAATATTTCAGGTGAGCTGGATGCACAGCTACCATGGATGCACAGCTGTGTATAGTTCAGTATTTTTCCACTGTACTACCCTGTACCACAGAACTGCACTTCCCTACAGGACTCATTTTACATTCTAATATTGTGTAATGGGTTACTTTTTGTAGATTGTGCAATTACTGTTTTTTTTTCCCAAACACTGAAATCAATTTGGCCGTTTTTTCTTTCCAGTTTTGCTAAAGATTTAATTGAAGTTGACAACAGGGAGAACAGGGTCAAGCTTTGCCAAAATTCTTCTTGGGCTACATTGAAATTCAGGTGGAGGGTCTGCTCTGTCTGGTGAGTTTCCACCTGTAATCTATAGAATCCTGTAAGTGGATGTAGCCTCTTAAAAAAAAATTACTGCAAAAGCTAAGAAAAGCAGACCTGTTGCTGGTAGGCGTACGTTTGCTGTTGGGAAAAGTGGGTTGTGCCTTGGTGGCACAGTCCCCCTTTTCTTTTAGGCAGGGAAGCAGTTTAAAAGCCGTTACAAATCAGACCTTCAATCTGTTATTACCCTTGGATACACTGAAATCTGAAACACGAATCCCTTTTTTACTCTGACTTTACTTATTTTGTCTGTTTTTAAGAATGAGATCATAATTTTGTCAGTACTGAGGACCTTTGAGAAAAGTGAAAATTATCCTTTGGGCAACCGGAGACATCTTTAGTTAGTTAGTTTAATGCCAGTAAAATCTTCACCTGCAAGCACTGTTCCTGTAGTGGAAACATGCCCATAATGAATGAATTCACATAGGGTTTTTAGTTATTTGAACAACTGAACAAAAGTATTGATTTGCTCTCCTCAGAGACCAGCATAATGAATTATCCACCTATGCTCTTTGTCCAGTCTATTAATATGCATTTGAATAGAATTTTTG